GTGTTAAGCCTGTCCAAATCTTGTTCACACATTTATTTCCAATTCAGTCTCTGCTAAATTGCCCTTTTTCAATTCAAATATGTGATAAAAATGCTAAGATTTTCAAAATGCTATGTTAACACCTGGATGATAATATTTTATAGAATAGTTGGTTTCTTACAACAGAAATGTTTTCTCTATGAGCAAAGAGAGTGGTATAACTTCATTAATCAAAAGCTTGACTGCCCTCGGTTGCAGATACAAAAAAATATAAAAATAAAAAAACCCAAATATTTCTGCAAATCTTATGCTCTTGAGATTGATATAGCCATTATAACCTAAATTGGTTAAATCAAACAATTAAAACAAAATAATTATTCAATGCACAAACAACAAAAGCCTGCAAATATAAACACAGATAAATAAAACATCAAATATTTCTAACAATCATAACAATGTAACAAGAAGTTATTAAATTTCGAATTTTTAAAGGTTTTTTGAATGTTGAGTCTGCAATATGTTTTGGCAACTAGCTCTTTATTTTTGTTCCGATAAATTGTTTTTTTTTTCCATTAAAAAAAATAAATAAATAAAACATGTTCTTGATTAGCTCAAAGATATAATGCAAAAACTCAACAATAATACGAATGATAATCAGTATATTATCAGTGAAGTTGTTTTAGTTATCGTTTTCTATGTGCTATATATTTTCTCCATTTGCCTTTATCCGGTTTTTGTGTTTTTGTTTATATATGTGCCCCAACTCAAAATATTTCCTTCTGGAACATGCTTTAAAAACTTATGTGTATTTATATCTTATCATTTTAATAATAATAATACACCAAGTTTTAATTAATAATCAAAGGGACAGAAAGTATAACTGTAGCCAGCCTGACTGTAAAAGAGATTCTTTTGAGAAACATAAATGTTCACATGAATTAATAATTAATTGTGCTTGTTGTTTACTAACTTTTCTAGAGTTGTTGTCAGGAACTGTAGAGGGTCTGCACAAGACGTTGCCCTCCGCCGTCTGTCTGAGGCTGTTGAAGACACCATGGAAATGGCTAAAGACACCATCAAAGGTGCTGCAGACGAGCTGGCTTTCAGAGCTGAGATCGCCAAGTCCGAGTATGCAGACAAGAGGTCGAGGAAGTCTCGCAAAAATAGCAATTCAAGTGTATCGGGCAAGAGGATGTCTAAGAAGAAACTAAAATCGAGTGGTAGTTCGAAAGAGCTGTTGTCAAAGAGTCCGAGTGAACAGTCATTATTATCTGAAACAGATAGTAACCAGGAAAGCCATCATGTGCATTTCCCAGGAAGTTCAGTTAGTGTCAAGGAAACTGATCACCAAGTTCAACATACCTCAGATACTTCCCACAATGCTTTGCTAGTTAATGATGTCAATGAACAATCAAGTCATTGGGCAGAGTATTATAACTCCCATAATTCATTGATGGAACCATGGTCGCATCACAGTTCGCATAATGAACCTGGTGACACTGCATTCGGTGTTGACTCCAGACAGAAAGCTCACTCAGATTCAACAACGCATTTTAGAAAGAATCACCAGATCCATGTCCAGGACTCAAATAGTTCAAAGCATTCAGAATTGGAGCGAATTAATTTTGAATATTCAAATTACAAAATTGATGAACATGGTCATGAAGATGCTGCCGACATCACACACGGGACACTTGAGGATGAGTACCACAGTAGCTGCGAAATACTTGACTCTCCCAGTTTCCAGAATTTGACAAGAGTAGAATCACCAGGTGTATTTAGAGGTGAAGGGAGTCATCAAAGTTTACCAGAAACAAATGCAAGAACCAAGGACCGATTCAGAGAGCAGATACCATTAGTTAAGATTGGTCAAGAACAGAAAAACCAAACTGTCAGTCAAGCCAGTATAAGACATTCATTGAACACCAATATACCAATACCTCCGCCCCCACCTCCTCTTCCAGATTACTTAGCAGAGATTGACAGTAACACTTTCGGATTTCCACCTCCTCCATCTAACTTCTGAAAGTTTAAGAAAACAAGTATAATCTTAATATATTATTTTTTTTCCTCTGTGGGAAACTTTTCCTTTCAAAGCCATCAAATTTTATCAGCAACAAATAATGGAAAAGCCGAAGAACTAGAACAGATATCATTAATTAGTATGGAACAGCAACAGAAAAAAAACAAATTGTCAATCAAACCAGTGTAGGACATTCATTGGACGAGAGTTTGCCGATAGCTCCGCCCCTTTCTAAATTTCTAAACGATTTTGGGTTTCCTATGATTCCATTTAACTCCTGGGAGATAAAATGCAAATGTGATATTACTCTATTGGAGTATATTCCATTCATTTTTGGGCAAGATTCTTAGAAAGTTATACTTCGTCAACCCATTAATTATGTTTGTTGATAGTTTCCGATTTCTTCCTAGAATGATAAATATATTCCGGTTTGAATGCCATGGCAATTGTGACATCGTCGTTTAGTCATTACGCCAAAGATGCATTTTAACATATTTATCACTAATGAAAAAGTTTCTTCATCATTCAAGCTCTTGTCCATTAAGAACTCTTGTTTATTTTCATATACGTGCTTATTGGCCTTTGTGTTGTGGCAGAGTTCGTGGCAACGTTCGTGGCAGTACCCAGTGATTCCACGGAAGACAATAAATTCTCGACTGTTACACAAACAATGCCACGATCGTTGCCGATCGACGGAGTAATAAAAGCTACCGTTGTAGAAAATCTCGAGTAACGAGTGATACTTAATGTGATCTCTTGTTTACATCAGGTCGCGAATATGATGGATCGTCCAGCTAATATTCAGCTCAGTTTCTTACGATTTGTTTGGGAGATTTTATACGATTGTTTGTGCTTAGTAGAGGTGTCTAATTGCCGATATTACAAATACGCCGTTGAGTCACCGAAGAGTGTATTTTGTCCCGTAACTGTGTATTACATCTTGAAAACAACTAGCTGCGTAGAAGCAATACACTCTACACACTTACTCATTCCTAACACTAATTTATTTCCTTTTAAATGGTGTGTAGTGTTTACTTCGGCGTTTTCTAATGACCGCCGATGTAAAGAGAAAGGTACTCGTGGAGAAAATCGACGAGTTTCTAGTTTCGAGTTCCTACGAAAAATGTAAAACGCCGCTATGAACAGCCTTAAGTTATATGCTTATCAAATTGACGAATTTTATTGTTGGTGCAGCATTATAAAAACATTAGGTCAGTTATACTTTTTGAATTCATATCGAGCCATTTTTGCAACTGGTTGATCATATTCAGAACTAACACGTTCCGATCCCTCAATCTTATATGTTACGGTGATCTAGACGTCTGGTTAGGGTTATTTCTTTTGTTCGTTGAAAATGAAATAAGTATATTGAATGATATTTATTTGTATGATAAAAAAAAAAGCCAAGACGGACTGTTTTGACGACTTATTGACACAATTACTACGTTTACAGTTATCGATGTATCCGCAATGACAAGAAGTTAAAAAAGCATATGAAATGGCCTAACAGTGACAGACCCTAGGCCTATTGACACAATCGTGCACAAAAAAGAACGTTTTCGCTTCTTGCTTGTTTTTACAAACTAAAAATTAAGATGAATGCCTTCCAGTCCCATGACTCTCAAATTCTCTCAAATAAATAATTTTTTCTTCTTGTCAGTATTATGTTACTATTTATAAATCTTCACTTTTTCTATGCTAATACAAAGTTAAATGAGGATGAACTATGAAAAACCTTTTTATTATAGCAATAGATGAGGTAACTGAAAGACACGAGAATATTTCCTTTGCGCTGTGGTCAAACGAATTACAGTACCCACATAAACTATCGCTCTTACGTGCACAAGAACTGTAATAAACGGAGGTAGTATATAACCTGTCGTTATATTAGTATTAGTACATCGACTGGGAAGTCGACTAGAATGACAGATAACATTCTCATTGAATTTGTAAATACTGTATATTGAAAATAAAACCGTCATATGATTAATACCTGTAATGTTTCTTTCGTCATTGAAAAGTGGTCTTGGATTATTAGGCTCGCTGTGTGTCGCAGATTGATAAATGATACAACATCGAATGGAATATTATACTGTATAACAGCCATGTTGATAATTTATCGCTATTTTTACCCGTAGTATCTCTTACTGTTTGTTTACGGTATATATTCCATCGCGCTCTTTGTTAATGCTTTAATTATACGTCCGAGTCTAGGACTTGCTAAGTGGGCGATGATGGGTAGAATTGATTTTGGAATGATTTAATATGGCTAACAGGTGATTGGTTTACGATTCCAGGCCGTCTGCCAAGTTTTCCAACTGTCGACAAACTGGAAAATGATAATCAAAGTATAGGAACATATAAATACGGTTTAATTAGACTATAGGAAGTATCTAGATCGGTATCTAGATTCTAGAATATTGACGCCTCAATTGGTTTCCGAGCCCACGCTCATCCAATTATCTTTCTATTGTTGGTTAAAAGTGTAAACATCCTGATGTATTTACCTGCCTATTGTAATCGACTGTAATGAAATCGACTGTAATGAAACTAGTGTATAGGCCTATCTCATCCAGAGTCAACTGATCTTCAGGACGACTGTTACGTCACAGCACGAAAAAACCGCTGTAATGGGCAAAGATAATACTTGCGTGAGTATCCCACGCGCCAGGAAATTGCCGACCACGCACTATATTAGGATCATACCGTCACTAGGTCTACATTTAGGAACCTATGTAGGGCCTACAGAACATAGCTGGAAGTTATATTTTATCCTATACAGTAACGCTTCAAGCATGGACACCTCCCCCCCCCCAACACACACTACTACTACTGTATTAATAATTATGACAATTGTGAGAAACGAACATAATAAAAAAAAAATGGATGAGTTCAAACCAATGACAGTATGGTTACCATACATTCTCATGTACAG